ATGTTCTTCAAGGACTAGAAATAAAAAGTTGGAAAAAAAAACTTTAAAGGTGAAAACTTCACGAATACCAGAGAAGGTTTACACATAGGCTTTTAATGGAAAAAAGTCTCACCGGTTAAATGGAATACACAGTGCTTAGGCATCATGCAAACTCAACAGAACTTGTGGCACGCACATTTCATTTTGGCTGTAGATAGAGTTACATACTTGGGGGGGGGGGTTTCCCTATTATTATTATGGGATGTCTTTGGAACCAGTGGGGTGAGGGATCCATGAGGAAGATGGGAAGAGAGTCTGCATTTCTCTAGAACTGTATCAACTGTGGAGGCAGCAGCTAGAAAGAGCCACGTCAGACTCCGGGCTTGTCAGCGCCTACTCAACGTGATATATTTTAACGTTTTTCTCAGCACGAGCTTGACTTTAACAATGAATCCAGAAAAAGGGGGAAGTGATAATAAATCACAGACTATAAAAACCAGCAGAGATCTCTTCTGACCCCGCCACCGTAGCTCCTCCATCCCGCCGGCCTGTCATGATACACTAACTGAAAACACTTAGAGGGAAGATGCTGATGCAGCTATACCCTAGAGACCAAAGGCACGGGAGCCTTTCAGAAGCCCCCTGGCATCTTCCTTGTCAAGAGTCACGGCTGCTGCACTGGACAAGAGTGGGGGGGTTGGGGGAACGAATAGGAGAGAGCGAAGTGGTGGCAGCCAGGCAGGGCAGAGTGGAACAGCAGTCACATCAGGCTTTGAATGGCAAACGGTTCTGCCCAGGCCTGGTAGAGGGAGAGGTGAGGGAAAGTCTGGAGAGAGCCACTGGGGTCTCATCTACGGGAAAGGCATTTTAATAATTAACAAATGGGAAAAGGCATGGAGCCAGTAATGTGACCCTAGCATTTTGAAACTATGCCTCGGGAGCCTGCAGCCACATTACAGGCTCCCCAGCCAGGGAAGGCTGCGAAACCTCGGAAAACACAAGGAACTGTTTTAACCAAATGAAACTTACAACCAGGTCAATTTAAGACACATTTGATGAGAGCCATGATTCAACACTGGATATATGGGAGGCACAAATGGAAAACAGGTCTTATAAATTACTGAAATTAGCAAGTCAGAGACAAACATCATTTTAATTTTTCTCTTCTCACTTTATCAATACCCCTCCAATAGCTATCATCAACACAATATTGAGTTTTCCTGTTTCCCTATATTGACTGAAATAATCAGACACACACTCTCACGTGTAAAAAGACAAAGATACTTTGCGCAAGGATACTTTTTTCAACCCGACCTTCATGTCCTTTCACAGTTCAAGATACCTGGAGTATTTTTTTTTTTTTTAATGCAACTAAATGCTATGTCAAGTTCTTAGGAGGCAGGGAGGTGGTGTAAGCAAAAGAGGATTGTTTCCCGTCCCCACTCTGCTCTTTATTGGCTGTATGATGTTGGACACCTTAACTGGTCTTTCGAAGCCATGAGTCATCTAAGTGAAGATGTTAAACAGCCAGCAGGAGAGGTGGGGAAGGACCAGCAGTGAGGTAGAAGGAAATCAAGGAGAGTGTGACACAGAAGCCAAGGGAAGAAAGTGTGTTTAGAAAGAGGGAGTGGTCAACCATGTTGCAAGTTGCTGCAAAGGTGGGTGGGAGAAGTTTCCATTGCCTCTGGCAACGTGAAACCAAGACTTCTAAATTGTTCTTGGTCCATCATTTGAAGACCATGGGGTATCTTAAAAGCAAGAAAGAAAAAAGATAGCATCTTTGACTACTGTATTGTTTTAAGAGACTTCTTTCCCAAGGTCTTATTTGTGTACTAAAACAAAAATCTGAGAACAAATTTTTACAACTCTGGCTCTTCCTTTCACTGTCAGTCATTTCTAGGTTCTCTGAGCCCATTTAAGGGAGAATTCTAAGGGATGGGAATAAACTAAACCTAGACTATATAAATTGGGGCAGGTTCAGAAACATTTCCTCTTCATTGTAAGTGCATCTGATAACGATATTTTCCGTACTGATGTGCAGCAAATCTTTCAAACGCACTCATTTCATGGTTAGCCTAAGTTTAGGCAAACACAATTTCTGAATACTAAGAAAAAGAAAAACAAATGCCATAATAAGCCTTTTAGCACAAGGCTCTAAAAATAGCGTATTCCTTCTCCCAGCTCCACACACAAAGGAAAAACTCTTGGACATCAGAAGCTCCACGAACCCCAGAGACAAGGCTCTCCACTCATGTGCACTGACTTCCCAGGGTCCATCTGACTGCTTATAAGTTGGGAACACATTTCACCAACTGTTGTTAATTATAGTGTCCTTACCCGAACCGACGGTCTATGGTCATACAGAACTGGGGGCATCAAAGGGACTTAGAGACTTGGAGAGTGGGGAAACTGAGTCTTGAGGGCTGGCAGGATTGGCCCAGTTACACAGCTCACACATAAGCTTGTTCCTGCATCAGCCACCTTAAAACAAACCTCCCTGACCCTCATTTCCCTCCCCTCCCAGGACAACTTCTCTCACAAAGTCCACACTCAATGTCTCTGCTTCCAGACCTCCCACTCTCCCCTCTACCCACTTCAGTTGGGCTCCCTTCTCCACAGCTCATGAATTAATGCATGCATATCAAGGTCACCAACACCTTTCATGCGGTCCAACCAAAGGTCACTTCTCTCCCTCCCTTTTACACAGCCCGCAGCAGCATCCGGCATTTCCTTTCCTGACTTCCATGACTCCCGGCATCGGGGTTTTCTCCGCACTGACTTCCCCAGCTCCTCCACGGGCCCCTCATCTTCCTCTCAACCTCTTCTCTCACTTTCCTCTCTAGCTGGTCATTTCAACGTGCTCAGAATTTTAAGTATCCACAGGCTGAGTGTTCCAGTTTCTCCAGTGAGCTCCTAACTTGTAAACCTCACTGAGTTTTCAATACTGAATATCTATTTGGCATGTCAAACTTGACACATGCAAAACTGGAATCTTTATTCTTCCCTCCAAAGCCTGCCCCTCCCAAAGTCTTTACCGTCTCCCCAAATGGCATCACCACCTGTCTACTCAGCTGCTCAGGTCAAAAGTCTCGAAGTCATTCTGGAAACTTTCGACTTCCTTTTCTCCACATTCAATAGACCAAAGATCTGCCAGTGCCACTGCCAACACATGTCTTAAATAGGTCTGCTTCCCGTGTCTGCCACAACCAGGACCTCTAACGTGGACTACTACAACGTTCTAACCCTTCTCCTGGCTTTCTGTCTGCTGCCTGCAGTCCGTGCCACACAGCGGCCAGGGCAGCAGTGTAAAAGCACAAGACAGATAAGGGTCCTTCCGTGCTGAAGGCCCTGGGGCAGCTTCCATCGCGCTCAGGGTAAGGCTGGATGATCTAGCTCCTGCCTGCCTCTCCCCGCCCTTCTCACCACACTGCCTTCCTTTCTGCCCCTCGAGCACCAGCATGGCAAGCCCTTTCCCGCCTCAGGCCTTGGTGCTCTTCAGAGAGGCATCCCCCAGCCTCTTTACTGTAAATCTCGGCGTTCCCTTCACAGAACTTCTCACCACCTGTAACTAGCTGTGCCTACAAGAGAGTCCCTGCTACGTGAAAGTTCCATGAGAGCAGGGACCCTGTCCACGTTGGCGGTGGGTGTAGCCATCCCACTGGCTGAGTGAACGGATGCTTGCACAGTGGCGCTGGGTGGGGAAGACAGGGCTCCCGGCTCCGGCTTTCCTAAACAATGGATGAGTCAGCAGACGCCAGCGGTTGGCTAGCGTGAGAGAGAGGACTTCTCCGTGGGAAGAGC